GTTGGAAACAAAATAGAATCATCAGTAGTTGGAAATTATGGCCTCAGTGATAGAAAAGTCGCTGGAGATTGCATGATAGAATTTTGCAAGACCAGTGATTTATTCATTGCAAATACCCTTTTTTCAACAATATAAACAGTGACTATACATGTGGACTTCACCAGATGGAATACACAGAAATCAGATAAACTATATCTATGGAAAGAGGTAATGGAGAAGCTCAATATCTTGAACCAAAATAAAGCTAGGAGCTGACTGTAGAGCATACCATCAATTGCTCATAGGCAAGTTCAAGCTGAAGCTGAAGAAAATTAAAATAAGCCCATGAAAGCCGAAATACAATCTTAATTATATCCCACCTGAATTTAGAGACCATCTGAAGAACAGATTTAGCACATTGTAACACCAAAGACAAAAGACTAGACAAGTTGTGGGACAACATCAAGAACATAATACATAAGGAAAGCAAACAGTCATTAAAAAGAAAGCAAAGGAAGAAATACAGAAACAGATGTCAGAAGAGACTCTGAAACTTGCTCTTGAATGTAGGGTACCTAAAGCAAATGGAAGAAATGATAAAGTAAAAGAACTTAACAGACTTCTAAGGGCAGCTCTAAAAGATAGAGCAAATTATTATAGTGAAATGTGCAAAGACCTGGAGTTTGAGAACCAAAAGGGAAGAACACCCTTGGCATTTCTCAAGCCAAAAGAACTGAAGAAAAAATTCAAGCCTTGATTTGCAGTATTGAAGGATTTTATAATAAAAATATTGAACAATGAAGAAAGCATCAAAATAGGATGGAAGGAATGCACAGAGTCTTGTATCAAAAATAATTGATCAATGTCCAGCTATTTCAGGAAGTGGCACGTTATTAAGAGTCAATGGATTGAAAGAAGAAGTGCAAGCTGTACTGAAGGAATTAGTGAAAAATACGGCTCCAGGAATTGATGGCATACCCTTTGAAATGTTTCAGCCTACAGATGCAGCACTGGAGGTGCTGACTTGTTTATGCCATGAAGTTTGGAAGACAGCTAGCTGGCCAGTTGACTGAAAGAGATCATTATTTGTGCCCATGCCAAAGAAAGGTAATCCACAGAATGTGGAAAGTTTCAAACAATATTATAATATCATGTACAAGTAAAATATTGCTGAAGGTAATTAAAAAACAGTTGCATCAATATATTGGCAGGGAACTTCCAGAAATGCAAGCTGGATCCAAAAGAGGATGCGGAGTAAGGGATATAACTGCTGATGTCAGATGGATCTTAGCTACAAGGAAAGAGTACCAGAAAATCGTCTACCTGTGTTTTATTGACTATGCAAAGCCATTTGACTGTGTGGATCATAACAAATTATAGATAACATCGTAAAGAATAGGAATTTCAGAGCACTTAATTGTTCTCATGAGGAACATGTACATAGACCAAGAGGCTGTCATTTGAACAGAACAAGGGTATACTACATGATTTAAAATCAGGAATGGTGTGTCAGGATTGTATCCTTTCACCATACTTACTCAATTTGGATTCTGAGCAAATAATGAAAAGCTGAACTAAAATAAAGAAGAACGTGGCATCAGGATTGGAGGAAGACTTATTAACAACTTATAATATGCAGATGACATAACCCTGCTTGTTGAAAGTGAGGATGATTTGAATCACTGAGGAAGATAAAAGCTTACAGTCTTTAGTATGGATTTATACCTCAACATAAAGAAAACAAAAATCCTCACAACTGGACCAAAACACAATATAATGATAAATGGAGAAAAGATTGAAGTTATCAGGGATTTCATTTTACCTGAATACACAATTAGTGTCCATAGAGACAGTAGTCAGGAAATCAGACATCATACCGTACTGGGAAAATCTTCTGCAAAAGACATCTTTAAAGTGTTAAGAAGCAAAGATATTACTTTAAAGATTAAGATGCACCTGATCCAAGCCATGGTATTTTGAGTAGTGTCATGTGTGTGTGAAAGCTGGGCAATGAATAAAGAGGATGGAAGAACAGTTGATGGCTTTGAATGGTGCTGTTGGGGAAGAATAGTGAAAATACCATGGACTGCCAGAAGAATGAACAAATCTGTCCTGGAAGAAGCGCAGCTAGTATGCTCCTTAGAAACGAAAATGGCCAGACTTCTGGGGAGTGAAACTAAATGTACATGCAACGTTGAATGTAAAACAAACTCTTAAAAAAAAAAAAAAGCCCAGATTTCATCTCACCTGTTTTTTCCTTTGATACGTTTTCACCTAGAATATGTCACAGTTGATTAACGTTGAGGGAGACAGAGAATGTGAACATGTTGACAGGTACTCTGGCTCCTTGTAGGTCATTCTGCAAAAATGTGTGTGGGAGGGAAAAAGCTAATGATAACAAAGATTATTCATGCGAGGTTGTCAGAAGGGACCATTCCCTGGAGAAGGATGTCATGCTTGACACAGTAGAGGGTCAGTGAAGAAAGGGAAGACCATCAACAAGATGGATTGACACACTAGCTGCAATGATGGGCTCAAGCATAGCAAGGATTGTGAGGCCGGCACTAGACTGGGCAGTGTTTTGTTCTGTTGTACATGGGGTCTCTATGAGTTGGAACCGACTTGAAGACACCTAACTCTGGTGGCATAGTGCCCAAGACATTTGACTGCTAACCAGAAGGCTGGTGGTTCAAACCCATAGCCACTCAGAAGGAAGATTGAGCAATCTACTTCTGTAGTGATACCACCTTGGAAACCCAAGAAGGGTTCACCATGAGTCGGATCTGACTAACCGGCAGTGAGTTTTTTTTTTTTTTTTTAAACAACAACACCCTATAGATAAGGTTGTAAGATAACTTGCAACCTCACATGAGCGAGGTTGCTCATGAGGAAGTTGAAGAGCACAGAGATTAAGTAAACTTGTTGAAGGCTAAAAAGTGGCAGGTTCAAGATCAGAATCCCTGGCTATCCAGTGCAAATGATCTTGCTCCTGAACCATCCATTATATGAACAGCCTGTGAACAGATGTGAACTTTTTGTCACAGAGGTTATGATCTGACAGAAGATGCATGAAATGATAATAGTCCACAAGTGTAGATGTCTATTAGTGTCCACATGCTAAATTATGGTAAAATCAATAAAACTAAGAGAAATCTATTTCTGCTGGAGATCCAAGGAAGGCTTTTTGAGAACAACAGCCCATTTACCTGAGGTGTTTTGTTTCTTTTACTTTTAACTTCTGAGAATTCATTTTCTCTGAAGAGTTTATCTCAGGATTTGCAAATACTTGGAAAATCATTAAACTCTTAATTATTTTGAACTGATTGGCTTATCTTAGATTGTGTAAGTTTCTTATCTTTTTTCCTTTGATACATTTTCACCTAGCGTATGTCACAGTTGGTTAACGTTGAGGGAGACAGAGAATGTGAACATGCTGACAGCTACTCTGGCTCTTTGTAGGTCATTCTGCAAAAATGTGTGCGGGAGAGAAAAAGCTAATGATAACAAGGATTGCTCATGCGAGGTTGTAAGTTATCTCTGCTATTACTCTGCTCAGTGATCCTGGAATCATTGAATGCTGGTTGAAATGTGGAAATCAGATTCCACTTGCAATTTTTAAAGTTCAAGTCAAGAATACTTAATATCAGACTTTTTTTTTTTTTTTTTTTAAATTCTCAGATTTCTTTGGAGCATTTTACATGCTAAAAATATATAATGTTTTTAAAACAGAAGCTGTGAACAGCATATTCTTATTTATCTAAAGATAAATATGGTAGTTACAGGATTATGTCTAGTGGTACTCAAGAAATGTGTCCTGATTTTGGTGATTTTAACATATGAAACAACATGTACTCTTTTCTGAGTTAATACAAATTTGTCAATATTGAGCAAATCTCTGTAACACTAATCTGTAAATGCTAAAGGTAAAAATGAAAGGATTTGGACATGTACTGAATATCTTTAATTGCTAAAATGCCCTTGATAATTTTATATCACGTATTTTATTAATGTATTTATCCTAGAGTGAAAACACACACTCTGTAAAAGTAACATTGAGACATTTTTTTGAAAGTCCACAGACTATTGGGACCAGGAAAACATCCAAATTCATAGTGAAAGCAGCCGGTCTAATGGAGAATGAGGAAGATAATATTTGTGTACAATTAGAGTAGGAACTAAAAGCTACAAAATAATAACTGGTTGAAAGACAATCAGGGGAGTTAAAGTTAGGATATCTAAAAACGGGAAATTATCAGGGATAGGTAGATAACACATAAGTGGGATTACATGACTGGTTAAAGTACGTGCGCTTTAGTTTATTACAGGATGGTCCCAGGACAATAACAGGACAGGTTTTTCTGGAAACCGGCTATTAAAATTGTTTCCTCAATCATCCCTGTTCCTAAGTCTGTTGTAAAGATTTATTGATAATGATGTGCACCAAGACCCTGCTGGCATAAGCTACCTCATCTTGCATCTCTTTGGCCACAGTGAAAATATTCTCTGAGAACAGACTGTGATATCCTGCATTTGCCAGACCTCAGAGGAAAAGAATGTTTCCTTTAGGGCATATGGTTAGGTCAACATCAAATTTAGAGAACCTGCTATTTTTAGAAAAGGCAACTTTAAAATTCAACATGAATTCTAGACTCATGTCAAGACTTTAAGATATAGTTAAGTCTCTGTTTTCAGACTCCTCTATTTACTCACACTGAGTGCCTCTAATTTTAGACTTCATACACATTAGACACAGAACAGGAGTAAGACCTAATCTTCTTCTTCTTGTAGAAGAATTTAGAATGGATTCGTGGACATTACATATTTAATATTTTATGTATTAGTTTCTGTTACAACTTTAATTTATCTTTAGTAGACGTTAATTTGGTTGTTAATGAAAAGATCATTTAATTATTCCTCAAGGAGGACTTTCAGGTAGGCTAGAATCTTTGCTTTGTTAGTAACTTTGAGTAAAAATAAGCATTTAAAAAATTTATGGTTGTGGTTTGTGCTTTGTATTTCAGATAGGAAAAGAACATGTAGGCCTGAAGGCTGTGACTGAAATTCTCCAGGATATTCAGTATAAAGTAAGTCATTATTTAAAAGAAAATAAAAACACTGGTGTGTCAGAGGACTTGCTAGGTCTCAGAATAGCTGTTAAACTCATGGTTACGGTTTATTACAATGAGAGGATACAGATCAAAATCAGCAAAGGGAAAAGACACATGGGCAGAAGTTCATTAGAAATCTGGTATAAGCTTCCAGGCATGGCCCTCCCAATGGAGTTGCATGGGGACCCACTTCATCCTCCCAGCAGTGAAATGTGACAACACGTACAGAGTGTTACCAAGCAGGAAAGGTCATGCAAGCTTGGTGTCCAGGGTTTTCACTGGTGATCAGTCATATAGTGAACTCCATGTGAGTGACTGCACCTACTCAGAATCCAGCCACTCCACCAAGAGCTTAAGCAGGTTTTAACCATAATCATGTCAAGATAAACTTTACTAGTCAAACTAGGACAGGCTTACAAAAATACTTTCATTAGACAGAATATTCCAAGGAATCAGAGGTCATCTCCCAGTTCTGAGGACAAACCTGTCTTTGAAATGTTTCAGAGTTTGAGCAACTCGGGCCTTCTGAGTTAATTCTTTTCTGCCCACTGGTTACAGGAAAGCTGATTAAATGAAACAAACAATATGTGTTCATATTTCAAATTATATATATTACATGCTTAAAATCACATATCAAATTATGTATTTATTTCAGTTACATATATATTTCAATGATATATATATATATATTTCAGTTACATATGTTTCAAACTACATATATATACACCTGTATACACATATATACATATGCATGTATATGTATATATATATACACACACACATACATACACACACAGTCATGTGCCACATAACATCTATTTAGGCAACGTCTGACAGCATGTATGTCTGTGGTCTTAAAAGATTATAATACAGTTCAGAAATATTGATCAGAGAGGCAGACAAAGAGAATATAACTGGTCATAGTGAATATAACAGCTTCCTACATGCAGCATGTGTATCTCATGTCTCTTGTATACAGAGCGATTGAGCTGCCTGGCATATAATGGTACAGGTTTGGTTTGAACCATTACACAGTATATAATAGTACTAAACCAAAATATCAAACTCAAAGCCATTGAATTGATTCCAACTCATAGCAACCCCCATTGGTTTTCCAAGGTTGTAAATATTTATGAAAGCAGACTGCCTCATCTTTCTTCCATGGAACAGTTGGTGGGTTTGAACCGCTGACCTTTTAGTTAGCAGCCACATGCTTCAACTATTACACTACCAGAGCTCCTTGTATAATGGTATAGTAATCAACAATATATATGTCTTGATAGTCATAATAAATGCCTATATTACTGGCTTAATGTATTGTACAGAACTTTCTATTGTTATTTTAATATGAACTTTCCCTACTTACAAATAAAAAGTTTATTGTATACCAATTTATGCTACAAACAGTGTAAGCAGCAGCATTCAATCTCATGTATTGTGCAACTCTTGAGTGTTATAGAATTACCTCTCTGTTTAATTTTCTTTTAAAAATATTACCTTGAAATGCGTCATGGCTCCGAAATCCAGCAAAACCAGTGTTAGTGATAGCACCAAGAGGCAAAGGAGACATCTTGATCGGAAAGTGAAACAGGTTATTAAACAACACAAAGGTGGAAAATCAATGAATGCTATTGCTTGTGATTTAAGCATGTTTGCACCATGTCCAGATCACTATTGCACAGAATGTATCATGCACATTAAGTGATGCATGACTGTATATATACATAACAAGTACACAGGAGCTATAACAGCCCAGAGAAGGTGCTTTAGGACAATATAACTGTGTAGTGATATGGCCCAGCATCACTGGGAGGCCCAGTTCAACTATAAGGAATTCCTTTAATCTCACATGAGTCAGTTGAATATGAGAGGCCTTGGGAGAATTAATTTAATTCTTTGTGGCTACTGGGGATACAGCATAAGTGCTGAACTTGCTTGACGGAAAGGGATCTAATGATGGAAAGCCAATACTGAGGTCGGTCTGGGGATTGGAGTCTGATTTGCTGCACATAGGCATAAGCCCAGGGCATTTTGAGCCAGCAAGAACCTCCCCTGAAGATCTCCTGAGTGGGCTCAGACTGAACCTAGCTACTGAGGGAAGCCCTACACTACTAATCAGAAGGAACTGATGAAAAGAGGGTGAGGACACATTTGATTGATATTTGTCTAATAGAAATAGGCTGAGAAAATTCACTATATTTCTGTAGCTGATAGGACATGAGTAATGGGAAAGTAAGCTGAATTCTTAAATGTGTAAAACAGTGCCTGGAAATAAGGAAGAGACAGAATTTATGTGATGATTTTCCCTATTGCATCTGTACCTGTAGAGTAATTCTATAGGAGACATCCCACTAACATGACAGGTATGTCTGCCTATAAGGCATGTGCAATTTAAGTGGAAGCTCTGGTGACACAGTGCCTAAGGCATTTGACTGCTAACCAGAAGGTTGGCAGTTCAAACTCACCAGCCACTCCTCAGAAGAAAGGTTGGGGCAATCTACTTCCATAGTGATACTGCCTCGGAAACCCAAGGAGGGATCTCCATGAGTTGGATCCGACTCGATGGCAGTGAGTTTGGCTTGGTATTTGAAATAATGAATGTGTCAATTTATAGTGTTCTAAATGTCAATTGTTGAAAAATGGTACAAATATTTTAAATTTAATTGACCTTTTATAAAAGTTGATTGGAACTGAATATTTTCATTCTAGTATTAGATACTGCTCCCTGGTTGAATAGAGTGGAATTAAGTCTAGAACTGAATTACCAAATCTAAATGAGACAAGACAAGAAGTTGAGAGCCAAGTTGTAATGCCAAGGAGGTTAGGAGCTGAGATCCAAGCAGGAGGACAAAAGTTATTTTAAAAGTTCCCTGAGCCAGAGTTTGGGCTTTTTATACTGAGGCTCAAGTATGGATGTGCTGGGAACAGATAAAGTAGCTGACCTAGGACAGAAAGACACCATTTGTCAGCTTCCCACCAAGAATTACAGGAATAATCTATCTTCAGTAGCAGGAAAAAAAAGGAAGCCATAGAGTGATGGTGACGGTATCTTCTTGGAACCAGCCAGTGTTACACCAGTGAGAAGACAGAATGAGAAAGCCACACATCTGTGGGACAGGATGATATTATCCAGAGTAACCTTCAATCTTCAATATAGATTTTTGTTCTTAATAAACTTTTTATTCTAAGAATTTGGAAATTTCATGTTAACCTGGGATCTTTTTTTTTTCTCCCCCAGGGGAAGACCAAAATAATACCCTGCTTTAATCCTAACACTTTATTACCAGGTAAGTATTCATCAGATGCATAAGGTACACTTTATTTGTGGACATAACCACATTATTTTCCTCAGAATATGTATACTCACAGCCATTGAGTCAGTTCTGACTCATAGTGACCCCCATTGGGTTGCCAAGGCTAAAAATCTTTATGGAAGCTGACTGCCTCATCTTTGTTCCACAGAGCAGTTGGTGAGTTTAAACCACTGACCTTTTGGTTAGCAGCCAAATGCCTTAACCACTATACTACTAGAGCTCTTTCAGGATATATATGTGTATGTATGTGTGTGTATATATATATATATATATATATATATATATATATGTAAAACCCACTGTCATCGAGTTGATTCTGACTCATAGCCTTCTGGTTAGCAGCCAAATGCCTTACCCACTATGTCACCAGAGCTCCTTGGAGGATAATATATAGGTATATGTTAACTGCTAATAAAATTTTCATATAAATTTTCTGTAGCAGGTAATAGTTTCAGGTTTCTCTAAATAGGGGAGTAAATTTTCTGAAATAATAAGGAAACACTTTGCCACTAGTTCTCTTAATTGATGAATTTTCTTAGGTTTATCATATGTAAAATATTACTACCTCTGTGTGAACCACCAGCATAATAAAATAACCTTGGCATATTTCTAAGATTGATTAGTGAAGTTCTCATAAATCTCTATGATGAAATAAACTTTGTCTAGTTTTGTAAGTTTACCTCTTTGTAGTGCTACTCTTATTTGGGTATTATTCTAGTTGTTAATATATTCCTGTGCAGTTAAGAATTGTGCATAAATTCCACATAATATGATTTGAATTGTAGGTTATTTTGCATAAAATTTTGTTCTTCCACATATTTCTGTCTAAATTATGTGCTGTTTCATAATATTTCAAACAAAACAAAATGGGTTGATGCATTGTATCTTCTACTTTCTAAATTTAAATTGCTCTACAACAAACCAGTTTTTTGCTGTATCTTGAGTATTTACACATACTTAATCATGAATCCTTCTAAAGTAAAGCTAACTGATTTCATGAATATGGTTCTATATATGATTTCATATCATCATATAGTCTTAATACTTTGCTGGTGAATAATCAACATAGAGGTAGCTAGTTCAGAATGGTTAAAAACACCGGTTTTGAAGTCATACTGTGTGGATTCAAATCCTGCCTCTGTTAATTATTAGCGGAGTGACTTTGGGCAAATTACACACTCTTTCTGTGATTCCATTTTCCTGTCTGAAAAAATAATAGCATATCTCTTACTGGTTTGCCGTAAAGTTTAAATGAACTAACATGAAAGGCTTAGAACAGTGCCTGGCACGTGGTAAGCATTTAATAAATAGTAATGAATCTACAGGATTGCTACAAGTCAGAATTAGCTCAGTGGCAATGGTTTAGGTTTGAATCACTCAGGTAAATCCTACAATATGGGTAAAGAATAATATGGATCCATTTTTATTAATGTAACTAAAGTTGATATATATGTTCATCTGTCCTTTCAGCTATCCATCTCTTTTGCCATATTTAATGGATTAGTAATTCATTGATAGAAATCACTGTAAATAATAGAAAGATGATTCGTCATGTTTTTCATTGATTAGTTCCTCCATGATGATTAGTTTAAGAAGAAATATGTGAAGCTTTAGCTTAAAGGTGACATCAATGTGAAGTTGCACCATTTGGACAGTTTGTAAATTTTGAAAATTATAATTGAAGGCTTTAATGTTATTATTAATTAACTTGCCATTTCATGACATATTTCCTTTGTCATACAGACCCTCTGCTGCGAGATTATTGGGTGTATGAAGGCTCTCTTACTATTCCCCCTTGCAGTGAAGGTGTGACCTGGATATTATTCCGATACCCTTTAACTATATCCCAGGTACAGGTAAGTGTGGTACTTTTAAATCTTTTTAAGTAAAGTTCTAAGTTAAAGGTTAACTATTGTTTCCATAAAAGGGAAATGGCTGTTTCATGTTTTATTTCCCTTTAGATCCCTCACATCTTTTCAAATGAAAGTTAAATGTCTTGAGCCAGTGAAAGCAATTCAAAGGTCAAGAACGAACAAAACCAACTATCATTTATGATCTGTATTTTTAAAGTTAGTTTTTATAGAGTAAATAAAAGTCACTGAAATAGACAAACTTTTGATTAGACCAGTTATTCTTTATGTGGGTTTTCCCAGGTGTGGAGGGAAGAAATGTCTTGGAAGTAGAGTGAGAATGCTGGTTATTTCTGGAAGTCGTACATGGGTTTTGTAATGGCTTTTCCTTAGTGTGCACAGGAAAATGCTGTATGCAGCGAGATGAGGGAACTGTAAATGATGCACTAGAAAGTTCTGGATTGTTTTCTTGCTCCACTTTGGTTGCCTGCCTCCCACTTGAGCTCTGCATGGGTGCTCTAGATGCTGCTGCACAGCGGGGTCCAGCCTCAGGATGAATTGTCACTAGGATGTGAGCTGGTAAAACATGAGGCAACCACAGTGTAAGGTGTTAAACAGTGATTTTGACATTTTTACAAAGAGATGCTTTAAATGTCTCTTATCCTCTAAGGATCCATCTAAAGGATGTTTTCTGGTAAAGTAGTTCTTCTGAGAGTTCCTGGATGTTGCAAATGGTTAACATGCTCCACTGCTAACTCAGAGTTTGGCAGTTCAAGTCCACTCAGAGGCAACTTCGAAGAAAGGCCTGGTGATTTACTTCTGAGAAATTAGCCATTGAAAACTGCGGAGCACTTTTCTACTCTAAAACACATGGGGTCACTATGAGTCAGAGTTGATGGCAACAGGATTGGCCTATTTTCCCTGCATGATCAGTCTCAGAGGTTTGGGCAGTACTTTAAAATAGACCATGTGTTCTTCAGTAACTTTTTACAAACTTCTTTTATATCCTCAAGTTTACTAACTGCTCAGTAAAGCCTCCTTTTGTTTGTCCTTGAAACTTTAAAATTCTTCATTCAACCTGAGTTTCTATTTAATTCTGTGTTTCTAAGGATTAATTTAAAATATCCCCCATTCAGCTTCCATACCTTTCATTATTTTACAAATTTTTATCACACCACCTTTGGCCCTTCATATATTTAATATGATGAGTCCTAATTCCTTTATATTTGTTCATCTGTTCTAACAAGAGATTATTCCTGAGTGGTAACTGGGACCAGAAGATAGGGAGATTAAAAACACAGTCTCACAAACTTCACCTTTGAGTTGGGGATGCAGATGGCTATACAGATAGTCCCGATACACTGTGGAAAAAAAGGTGCTTCAGAGACATAATGGAACAGTCTAACACAGACTAGGGAGTGCAGGGGATAATTCCTGGAAAATAATAGGAGTTATTTGGTGAAGGAGATGGAAGAAATTAGAATATTGATTCTAAAGTTAAGAGTATAGATTTGGAATACTTATATATACATTTGAGATTTAACAGCAAAAGATAGTAGCTACAATAATAGATAAACCCCACAAAACCAGTGAATTATAGTTGAAATTTCTTTCTCATATAAAATCCAGTGTATGTGTTCCTGATTTGCAGTATAAACTCTCTGTGCAGCCATCCAGGAAATCAGGTCTCAGGAAGCTCTGCAGTCTTCAGCACATTGCTTTCAGGGATGACCTGGGTATGGGTGTCTAGCTAGCAGAGAGTAAAAGAGCATGGAGGATCACAGGGGGAGGTTTTCAAGGGCCAGTCTTAGAAATGGTGAATCACACTTAGGCTTTCTCCTGAAGGGATCTTAGCCCCGTGAACATTCCTCATTGTAGAGAGGCTGGATGTGTGATGGCTTCATGTCCAAGAAGAAGGCAAAATGGATTAGATGATCACATCAGGTAGCCATTTCTGCCAGTAGAGCTCAAGGTGGGAGGAGGACAGGGTAGCCCAACTGAGTCTAGCATCACAATGTAGGTGGAGGAGATGGTACTGTGAGGGCAACTAAGGACTTGTCCAAGGGCCTTGAGTGAACCAAGGGAAGTGTCCTGGAATACAGCAAAGAAGAGAGTGTTTTCTAAATATGGAGGAGGAGGTTAGTGCCCAATGCCTGCTCCTCACCTAACCATCAAATACCTGCACTGTAGACACGGGACCCAGGCACCATAGCTTGGCCCTCATCCTTCATTCTGAACTACTGAATATCATTTGGCTTAAATTCTGGACCTCGACCTGCTCTTGGTCCTTTTAGATCAGGGTTGAAAAATATTAATTGGATTTAGACACATTACTTTTGTTCAAGGGTAATTTTCTAAAAATAGGTCAGACCTTTTAGAGTAAAATTTTTCTCTGTAACCACAATGAATTTCAATATATTGAAAGTCAAGTAGGAAATTAACATTTTTGAGCCACAAAAAAGAAATTCCCATTTCTACTTAGAATTCCATTAAAGGTTCCCTTATTGACATGGCACTGGGAATGTGCTAATGTTGAATTGTATTGTATATGCTAACTAACATTGCATAGACAGAGATGTAACATTTTGCTGTCATGTTGCCAGTATGCTATGCTAAGATCTAGAGATATATTACTATACTATTGGATCTTGCAAACTTCAAAGGAAACCTAACTTTGTATGGTCTTTCTGAGTAAGGCCAGTGATGAGGTCTAATTCATTCATCCTTTTTTATCATTGGCAACTAAACTGTATCTTTATAAAGGGGAGCCATGGCCAAAGAAAAGTGTATTGGAAAGAATAATCTCATCTTCCCTTGAAAACAGATGCTTTTCCAAATTAACTATAGCCTTTTAGAGCATTTGTGCTATACTGGTGAGCATAGCTGCCTTCCACATAGCTGTAGTCTTTCAATGAAAAAGATTTAGATGCTATTAGCATGTGGCTCCATTGCAGCATCTTTCAGAGAGTAGCAGTGTTAAAATGTATATACACACAGATACATGCATATATCATCAGGTATATTAAACACACTTTAGAGTGACTTAGGAAAAAATGAAGATCTTAGAACACAAATCAGTCTATCCTTGCCGTGATTGCTTTCCTTGTTGCTACTCATATAATTTCAGAGAAGGCAGAGCAGAAGCAGATAAGTTCAGAAAGGGCAGTGAAAATAAGAAGAGCTAAAGGAAGAAGATATGATTTGCTTGGTCTAGAATCTAGATTAAGAAAAATCGGGAAGTCTCCTATTATTTCCTTTAAATGGTAGCAGAGAAAGAAAAATGATTGATATATAAAATAACAAAAGGGATAGAGAAGGACAGGTAGCATCTCTGCATAGATGATTATATTGGGAAATATAAAACGTTAAATTGAGCCTAAGGAAAAATTTTCTTCCTTCATCGTATTGTTAACTTACATAATTGCAGTTGCTGGTATCAATATGGAAACTGGTGTCTTGAAATGCATGATCTGCCACTAGTGCCTGCAGTAGCCACATTAAACAAGAAGTTCTAAATCATAATGCTTGCCTATAAAATGTACAGTAGCTTGATGCAAGGAGGAATAGTTTTTGACAGGGGGGTGGTGTTGACAATTAAGTCCTTTGTGGAGCAGTTACAGCTTCACAAGAATTCATAGAATATAAGACTGGAAGCCTCTGCTTATTTAATTTTTCATATTAATCCTGGTTAGCATACAATATACTAGGCGAGAGAAAAAATTAAATGACTAGTTGATCTATACAGGATTTCAATGAGTGTAATTTTCTCTATTTTTAAAATAATCTATAGCTATTAAATAACTTTAAGTAATGCAAATAGCCTAAACACTAGCAAACTTAATTAAATTTTAAAATATTTAAAATTTTAAATTTTCAACTAAAATTAAAACAAAATATCAGCTGGATTGTTGTGTTTGGAAATGAGATTTCAAGAATAGAAATAAAAATACCAAATTTCATCAAATTTAACAACATAATTTGTAAGACACATCCTGATTTCAGAAATATGTAAAAATGTAAACAATACTTACCTTAGTATTGACAAAATATGGTATTATGATGGTATGTGTACAAATATGTGTGTGTGTGTGTAAAAACACACATGGAAATGGGTTGATCATTACATATACTTTCCTTTTCTTCTTTATATCCTTCTCTCTCTTTATTTATGTATATTTTCCTTACATTTCTATTTCCAAATTATCTATTATCTCAAATTAAATGCATTTGTCTTTGGATTTTCCTTTCTCTTTCAACTTAAACTAATAGCAGTGAAACAGAGCTATAAGAATATGTGTATGGTTTTTCATCTTGTGGATATATATGTTAGAACTTGGAAAACCATTTTAATATTCTTTTCGTTTCAGTCTTAGCACTTCTTTATCCTTCCCCATTGGATATTTCCTATGGGTTAAAAAAAGTAGAGTTTTTCATAGCACCCAACAGGTAGTGTTAGTATGCCTGATCCTATACAACTGAAGAAATCTGATGATGTTCAGTACTTAGTAGCAGGCATTTCTTGTCTTTGTGCTCAATATGGGATTTGGAGTGGTACAAACAGGAGCTCTGGTAGCGTAGTGCCTAAGGCACTTGACTGCTAACCAGAAGGCTGGTGGTTCAAACCCACCAACCACTCCTCGGAAGAAAGAGGGGGCAATCTTCCATAGTGATACTGCCACGGAAACCCAAGGAGGGGTCGCTATGAGTCAGGTCCGACTCGATGGCACATAGCAAAATAACAACAACCAGAACAACAACAACAACAAACAGTTTACACTTGACCACTAACCTAAAGGTTGACTGTTCAAATCCACCCATTGGTGCTGCAGAAGAGAGGCCTGGCAGTCTGCTTCCACAAAGATTATAGACAAAAAACCCTGTGGAAAAATTGTACTCTGTAACACATGGCATCACCATAGGTTAGAATTGGGTCTATGGCTCTAGGTTTGTTTTTCTTGGTTATGATAAAGACCAAGTTGCTTTGGAGTTAGATCATAGGCATGTTT